AGATAACGGACAAACAGACAGACACAGATTATATTATTGTATTATACTATATATACAGATATTAAGATGGTAAAATAACTATTATATATCCTTTACCTTAATACTAAAAATTAAAACTCAAATATACCCATATGTTTAATGCTTTTGACACGTTCAAGTCAGACAATATTTTATCGCTGTGTTCAGTAGATATTAAATAAAACCTGGTTGCAATGCCTCGAAGGCTAGCACTGTAAGCGTTCAGTAAGCTGTCTGTTCTGTCGATGTTTCAGTCGAAGTTCTTCATTCAAAAGATCTTACAAGCTGAAGAATTTTGCAAGTTTTGATTGGATTGTTTAAAATGCAGAAACTTCGGAATATAGTATCAGAGATTACATTCAGTAAAGAAGCAAATGTCGAGTTTAACTTTATTTAAATATCACATTCTGATAGGTTTGTTGTTTTTTGTAAGCCAACTATCTGCGGATATTATCCAGCAGATCACTAAGATACTTTGTATATTTTACATGCTTCACTTGTTAGTTTGTTATTAATTTATGTTACTGTAAATATTATCCAATAGGTTGATAGTTTATAGATAACTTAGTTTTGGTGAGCATGATGTGGCAACACTAGAACTCTGAGTACATTTACATAAACATCTTGGCCCTCGCGTGACATAGTGATTATCGTGCCGGACTATATGTCTGTGGATCCAATGTTCGCGTCCCGTTACCTCAAAAAATCGCGCTCCGCACTTTAGGACCATGGATGCATTATAAGAGTGACGGTCAAATCCTATATTCAGACAGGCTCGAAGAGTTGGCGATGAGGGCTGTTGACTGGCTGCCTTCCTTTTAGTTTATCAGTTCAAAATTAAGGACGTCCAACGTATAAATTAAGAAATTTCTTTTCTTTTCTTACATTTCAAAGTGTATATATGTAATAAAGTAGATATAATGACAAAATATTTCAGTACTGTGTATTTCAACAATATAGGTAATACTTTTTTACTTAATACGTAAAAACTGACGTTGATCTTCGTTTTTTAATTTATTTTATTTTTTTTACTTTATTTCAAATCATTTGGATGAACACAAAAGCTTCGGGTGTCACGTTGTTTAGGTTGTTGTAATGTTTTCTATTGTTGGGCCGGCTCTTTTGGATTATTAGTTTAAAATAATAATGCAAAATCAGTCAAGTTTGTTTGTAATTAAGCACAAAGCTACACAGTGGGCTATCTGTGCTCTGCCTACCACGGGTATCGAAACCCGGATTCTAGCGTTGTAAGTCCGCAGACATACCGCTGTGCCACTGGAGGGCCAAAACAGTCAATTCAATTATAACGAAAGCATTTTATTTCTTCGACTACACGTTCTGCAGGTAATCTTAACTCATGTTCTCAGATAATCCTAAATTCACAGTAGACACCAAACACAAAAATTGTATTTACTTGCCAGTTCTCTCACTCTACAAAACGCGCGGCTTTTTTCTTTCATATCCCTAGTACTTCGTCGAAACACAAACTTATTGACGATATTTAACTCACTGAATAAATGTCTGACAGTAACAGACAATCGTACAAACTTAATAACTTAATAATCACCTAATCTAGCTTAATTCGCGTTTGATACTACTCAAAACGTTTCCTAAACGTAAGAAAGTTTTATTATTCTTAATTTTGTTTAACGAAAACTGGAGTTTATTACGAGATATTTCTATAAACGTAAATAAAATTCTGAAAAATCTGTAATATCGAAATATTGAGCTAATAAAGATACATTCTGGAGATATTGGTCGTGATTTTATTTACGTTTAAAGAAAGTTCTAGTCGTTCAACACCGCCCATGACGTAACGTGAAACCTCCCACTGGCCAAACAACGATACAAACGTCCAAATAAAATAAAACATAGCCTAAAACAATATACATAAGGAAATCTAAGATGTTAATAGTTAGATATCGTCATTTTCCAGCCGTGGTAACAATGTTATGATTTAAATCTTCTAAATCCCTGTCCGTTACCACACTTAACGAGGCAGTATCCTTCCAGATCTGGTGTTTGTTTGTTTTATTTAATTAAGGTGTAATTGTGATCAGTTTGATAAATAAAATATAGCAACATCTTTGTTTGTATATTGGTTCAACAATAAAAGTTAAACCATTTAGTACCACACCTTTTAACACATTGAAAACAAAACTAATAATATTATCTAACAATCATTAGCCTGCTCATTATTATTTTTTGTGGGATAATAAGGGACATTAGTTTTTGAAGTTTCGCTGTTTCTTTTAGTGCAAAGCTAGCTTACAGAATGGGTTACCTGCGCTCTGTCCACCATGTGGAATTGAACACCAGATTTTAACGTTGTAAGTCCATAAACTGACCAGCCAGGGTATGTAACCCTCTGCATAAAATCACAAGTTTTGGAACTCATACTTTCAGATTTTAATTTAAAAGAAACATTATATACATTATTGACAAAAACTAACAAGAAATTATTGCCGTATAGAAAGCCAATTTAACGTCAACTTGAGTATAAAGTATGTTGTTACATTTTATGAATTATTAGGAAAAAATTATCTTCGGGGTTTTACTTATTAAATATTGTTTCTCCCCCCTATAGTGGCTCAGGGATAAATCTGCAAGCTTATGATGCTAAAAATCGGGTTTCGATACCCGTGATGGACAGCGCACAGATTGCCCATTGTACACATAACTAAACCAAAACGAAATCAAATATGATCGATAAAAAGATCCAGCTAGATAATAGTAGCAATAAAGATTTGTATTTAATTATATTAAATATGTGCATGTGTTTTTTACCTATTACTTAACGATTGTTCATAGTTAGGCTTTTGAACAGTTCAGACCAACCAGCAAGGCAAGTTTATTTAAAATCAACAATTTAAAACCTATGTGTGTTTTGGGGAATTAAGTTTTTCAATATTTCACAGACTTATTAAGTTTCAACATTTCACAGAGCCATTACGTAACTTGTGAATATGTACCGTTTGCAAACTCAAAGGTAATGTGTGTGCTCCCCCTCCAATTACCACTCATCAATGACGTTAGAGTTTTCCTTTCAAATATCGCGAAACCAGAATATTTTTTATTGGAGTTAGAGCACCGAAAAAGAAATACCCTCTTGTTTCCATAAAGTGCACTCCAAATATTTGGACGCTGGCGACTGTTTGTTTAGGACACCTAACTGATTTCTGGTCAAGTGATCAAAAGAGAGAGGACAATCACTCAGAAAGTGACAGTCGTCTCTCCCGGTTCCTTATTAAGCTCAAACCTCAATATTTGCACGCCTTGACGCAATATACGAAAAATCAATTTGATTGTATATTTATGTTCAGTGATAAGTATTTACTTGACAAAACTACGGTTTAGGGTAGGTCTTTGTCAGTAACTTGGTGTCTCCATATAGTTCTTGTGTAAGAGAAGGTTTTATACCTTCCCAAACAGAAACTACTTTGTGCCTAGGTATGCAAGGCTTCGCATATTTTGCTTGAAAAAAAAACCCCCATAAAATCAATAAGTAATATCGATTTTCAATTATATCAAATCTAAGTCGTCTTCTTTAATAAATTTCAATTATATTCTCTGAAAAAGTACAGAAAATAATTTTTTTTTCACATTTACTCGTTCAAGATATTTTCGTTTCTTTCAATAAAGTTTAAAACGTGTTTATTCAATCAATTTGTATTTCTTCTCTTGAAAACCTCTGAATTTCCCAGCTACGTTACGTAGTTTTATTATAAGTACTTGTTGTAACAAGGCAAGCTTAACTTATTTTAAATGACGTTTTTCACAGGATAATAATTACAACGAAGTACTTCGTTACTAAATAATTTGATATTTTTTACCAAACCTTTTAAACAATGTTACGCGCCACTAAAGGCCGCTGCTGTTTTATTCACGTGCATTTAGTGTGTTGTAAATCGGGGGGCATATAGCACCGTCATGTAAAAAATAACTAAGATTGTTCTCGGAATAAACAAGAAATGGAAAATATTAACATGAAATTCTTACAGAAAGCGCCCCTGTTGGTGAAATAATTGAAAACTATGTTTTGCCCCCCTCCCCTGGTAGTTCAACATTAAGCTCTAGGACTCATATCGCTAAGATTCGAGATTCGATCTCTGCTTTGGGCAAGGAGCAGATATACGTATATCATTGTTGTTAGGCGCATTAGTGCAAAACTTTTCAAAGAAACAAACTACACCTTATCAGCGTTTGTATGCGTACAAACTATTGTTTGTTTGTAATTAAGCACAAAGCTACACAATGGGCTATCTGTGCTCTGCCTACCACGGGTATCGAAACCCAGTTTCTGGCGTTGTAAGTCCGCAGACATGCCGCTGTGCCACTGGGGGGGGGACGCGTACAAACAAAACAATAAATTACTGATTCAAAGAAAGAACGCGTTTAATAATAATTTTCTTACATTTACAAAGTTATATCGCTATAATTATAAGCTCATTTATTTTTCTTAAAACTTTTGCTTAAAAGTTTCTAAAAATCTCTCTCATTAATTTTGAATTCAAATAGGATATGCAGTAACCGTGTTATTACTAAATGTTTATTCTGTCAAATGTATAATTTCCTAAGCTAAATGTAAAAAAAAAACTGATTTTAAGCGAAGGGAGTAAGTAAGTTGTACATTTCGAAAACGGATGTGAAAACCGTAGCACGCGAGTGGCTCGTATATCACAAACTCGTGGTGTTTAAAATTTAATAGAATCTGTTCAATTTATCTTGTCATAGTTCCGGTTAGATAATACTCTGACTGACACAAAAAAGTAATGTTTGTTTCTATTATGTATCAACAGTTATTCGAATACTGAACTCTTCAACTCATATATATTTAATGAATTACAGTGTCCACATGGTTTATTCGTTTACTTGATTTTACATCACACTTGTAGTGTTACGTATTAGAATTTCAAATGGTCTGAAATTGAGTTAAATGATACTTTAAATTTAGTAGTTAAATTACACTTTGGATTTAGCAGTTAAATTAAAGTCGATGACAACTTAGGATACTTCCCTTTGGTCTTCCTGGGATTATACAACCACACCTTGTCTCCTGGTACAAAGCTGACTTCAGTAGATCTCTTATCAAAACATAGCTTCATGGAATCAGCAGATGTTTTCAAGTTTGAATGCACTTGATGGTGAATATCATCCATCCTTTCAGATAACACTTTCACGAACTCTGACACATTTTCAGGTAACTCTTCGTAAGGTGGGCGTCCTGTTATCAGATCCACTGACAACCGAAATTCCTGTCCAAACATCAGCTTTGCTGGAGTGTATCCAGTGGCTTCATGCTCTGCTGTTCTATAGACCATCAACAGTGGAGGGAGTAAGACATCCCAGTCATCGTGGCGGCTATTACAAAACTTTGCCAATTCCTGTCCAAGTGTCCAATTGT